ATATATATATATAGCACTGGCTGAAAAATATTATTCATTGCTGCTGTTATAGCCAAAAGAGGTCCATAATTCTTTAAGATGAGAAATCCAAAGTTTGGAGCCATTCTCATTTTTAATAGTGAACGGATTCCATTCTAACAACTAAAATTGCATGTTTTTGCAAGAATATACTCTATAGTTTGACTTTTTCCTGACATACTTTATGCTTGAATAATAGGTAATTTATGGCATGAGCTGTGGGAAACAGCAAAACCAGTTCCAGCTGTTAAACAAGCTCCCCTCTTTGATGAGGATTTGGCAGTGTAAGTTGCAATGGAGAACACTTGAGCTTTCTTCGTGATTTATTATTGGATGTAACTTTTGCTTTTTGTCTTTTAGAATAACCATGTTGGGCATCGATCCTGTAGGGAAGGTATTCTGGCCGCTTTGGAGGACATACCACCTTCTGAGCTTTTTCAGCAATTGTTTAGATCATTAGTAAGTTCATTATCTCTCTTATTCAGCGTGATACCGTTGCATGATATTAATCAAACGACACGTGCTGTCATTTTAACGAGTTCTTATCACAGTAAATTAGATAGTTAATTTGTCCAAAGTACTATTCGTTCTAGAATAATGTTCTATCTGCGTAAATTTGGTTTCCTTCTTATTTCGTGCTTGGGGATGAAAAGCCTCATCATTTTCAAAATCTACTTTTATTATGTAAAAGTAGTAATTGTCAAAATTTACTTTGAATGATGTCAGTAGAACATCAGTTTCTTGACTAACCTTTCATCTGATGCATATGGAGCCAGTGAGGATTGTTGAACATCACAAATATTGTTACGTCATCTCCATCTCCCCATCTAGTTATTTTGTTGAAAGCACTAAACTACATCCTTTTTTTTTTTTTTTAATCTTAAAAACTGGTTCTGATGAGATCAATATTGGAAGTTGAGGCGATATTTCTTGGGAAAGATTGCAAGTCTTAGGACTATTCCCCATTATACATATTTGTCTTACTCGGGAAACCAAATACTTCTGACGAATGATTCTTTTGAAACCTGATTTCCATATGTGCTAATGATGTCTGTTTTGGAACTTTCAGCTGGGTTTAGGATTTGTTATAGCGGAGGCTACACTGCCTACCAACAGTGATTTGTTGAAGCTATTCTGTGAGTGCAAAGACTATGCGGCTGCAACTTGTCAATCTAGCATCTTTAGCGAAAAAATTGATGATCTTTGCCAGGTAAGCTTCAGGTTTCAGACACATATATATGTAGCTCAACAAAAATATTTTGTAATTTTGTTCTCGTTCAATATTAATGCCTGCCCAATCTCCCAATGCGTCCAGAGGCAATCATTCCAGTGGATAAAAGATAAGATCTTTGCATTGAAGCGGATTGACATTTAACAGTCAACACACTCCGAGTTAATAGTAACCAAAAATTGCTAAGCTGCTAAAAATTTAGTTTCTTTTCTATTATAGGTATATGAAACAGTGGAAGGAATGCTATGCAATCCCGAGGAAGTTCTAAGGATTATGAAGCAGGCGGAAGAGGCAACGACCCCTGCGGGTGAACCGAAACGTCTGTTTAAGAGGCTCAACCTCAACTTTGGCGGAAAAGATAGGCACTTCAGAAAACCGCTTTCAAAAGAACACAGAAGTCCAGAAGAGAATCGGAATGGGCAACCGTTTTCTAGTTTCTTCGATGGCAAGTCATCGTTATTTTCGAAAAAGCCTCCTAAAGCTGGAAGTATGTCTCCCGCTGAAAAGCCAACTTTAGTTGAAAATGGTTGGACAGTGCTTTAGGCACATACGCGTTTTGTCTTTAGGTTGTAACATGATTGGTTTTGCTCACAAGTGTAAATTATTCATACAAAAAAATTAGGGGGAAAAAAAGGTCATTGGGGTTCCTATTAGCAAAGATGAATTTCTTGTCTGATTACAGACGAATGAGAAAATGGAAATGCATTTTTTTATTTTTTATTTTAACAATAATTTCTATTTGTTCTTCTATCTCAAAAGTCATCTTAAAAAATGGTTGAAAGTTGTTTTTCATTTTTATTTTCTTTTTTGAGGACTTAATATATTAAACATATATTTTCAGAAACACAACCAAAACACAATTTAAAAAACGATTCCACCACCACTCAAAAAAAAAATTGCGTTTATCAATTCCATACTCAAAACAAAATCATTCAGATTCTCCTAATTAAATGGCCCTTCTTTCATCTTTTTCCAATTACCAACATAAAAAGCTCCACCAAGCAGTTTAGCCACACTGCCATATTCAAATTTGTTGCCGTAGAATCCCTTTTCTTTGGTGGAGAGAGCTCCTTTGAACGCCTAATCCTCTTGCTCTTTTCTCATCTTTCAACATCACTATCATCCCTTCCCTTCTGATTCTCATCCGCCTTATCAAATTCGAAATATTTGGAGAGAAGATCCGGCACAACGAAATTCGATAGGAAGTATAAAACCAGAAGTATTGCACTGACAACAAACAACAAAAAGAAGCAAAGATTCTCTCAAGGCAATTCAACAACTATTTGAAACTTCAAAAGCAGCATAAAATAGTTCAAAGAAACGAAACCTTATCTGAATCAATGTCGATATGTCGGGGGACTTGGCCGCCGCCGGGGAAGTGAGACTGAGAATAAGGTGAGAAGTACTACTACTGCGGATGGCCTTGGTCCGGCCTTGTGAACGGCGAAACTGTTGCTTCACAGGTTTATCATTGCTTGATAGGAATGGCAACAGTTTTGGAGCTTTTTCAAGCTGATTTCTGCGTTTTGGCTGGGAATAATGCAGATGAAACCGCGCAGATTGAAGTTGAGATATTGACCTCATTTTGAGAAGTCTCAATTCCTTCTAGCACGCGAGTTCTGCTTGCGTTCGCAAAACAGGTTGAGGAGTTTCTACTGGTTCAGTTTCGTTTCGTTTCGTTTGGACAAAAGATAACGTTTTGCCAAGTGGAATATGTCTTATGTTAGCTTTCAGATGTTGGGGCCATCTAATGTCTCAATGGGTCTGGATTAGTACTTTTAGGCCAGCGTATTGGATATCTAACGTAGTTTTAGCCCAATAAGAACTCCAGTTCCCTTGCATCCAGGCCTCCCTGCCCCGTACAACTAATGATCTTGTTCTTTCTTTTTTCTTTCTTTCTTCTTTTTTTTTTTTTTTTTTTTTTTTTTTTTTTTTTTTTTTTTGTGGCTGAAAAAAAGGGGACCATCGGTGTTGCGATAGGCTCCCATCTCCTTCGCCACTTCAGAAATCCAAAAGCCCGCCAGTAGAACGGGAAGGATCCGATTCAATTCTACTCAAACGATGAGTCCAGTTTTTAGTACTCATGCCACCGTACACTCAACGCTCCTTACAACACATTGGCCGAGTTGGGATCTTAAAGTGTCGCTGTAGAGTATCAAATCCTGAGTGAGAAGAAAGAAAAACAGCCTTACCGCTACGCCAACCCATTGTTGGTGATGATTCTTAGGTTATGTTGTGAGACTATAGGGTACTTGAATCAATCATGACTGAACAGATCATCCAAAATTTGATGATTCTGAAACATTTACTACTAGCTAACATTTTGAGACCCCTATTATTTGATAATTTTATGGACTACTTGTTGTGTTGTATTTTATACTTTTTTAAAATATTAGTGTTAATGTTATGGGCTAAATATTTAAAAGATATTTTATACTTTTTAAATTATTAGTACTAATTATTATAATTCATTTAAAAAAATATGTTTTTTTAATACACAACATTTTCATGCACAACCAAACACAGTAATGTATTATTCTTGAAAATCATATTACCCTTATCACTTTTTAAGGAATATGATTTTTAGTGATTACTACGTACCAAATACCTCCAAAATGCATTTTTCAAATGGTTAATATGCATTTTTTAACCTTTTTTTTTGTGAAATTCCTTTCATATTGTTAGAGCAAATAAGGAGAAGTTGGAACCCATTAAACTCCCGCCCGGACGAGGTCCCAATTCAATTTGTTAAATAAAAGAAATATTAATAAATAAAACAAAACAAAACAATCAGAGTGAAAAGACTTAGAAGGGGATATTGACCCTCCTTACTTATTAATTCGACTTTGTTTCAGGAGTAAATTACCCAAAACTTCCAAGTTAAAATATATATGTGTATATATATATATATATATATATATATATGCGAAGTTAATTTGTAGAATTAATAAAGATAACTGCGGGTAAAATTCACTAATTGCATGAGGTCCAAGAGTGTTCGAGAGCTTGATTTATTATGATAACGTGAAACACTATTTACATGGCTGCTTTTCACATGAAATGCATGCACTTCCTAGCTGTACTCTCATGATTCATTGGATGGTCAAATATTACACATTAACATATTGTAAATTATACAGAAAACCAATATTTCCAACAATTTAGATAGTTTGTTTGCTATTAGAAAAAAAGGAATCATTGGTAGTCTAAACTTATTTTTCACTCGTTCACAACTCAGGTTTCACCAGTTTACTAGTACTGGCACGCCCCTTATACCACCGATAGGTGCATTGCCACTTTTAAGGTTGAAACTCTTTTTTATGAGTATAAACGTTTGATTCATAGATTAGAATACGTGTATTTTTATGAGAGAAAACACTGTAACGAACCACGAATCATGATTCGAATCGGGGTACGAAACCCCCAACCAAACAACTCGTTAGTGATTTAAATCCTGAACTCTGAATGAGAGAGATTTAGAGTAGACATCCTTACCACCACGCTACCACCCATACTTAGCTTTTTTTTTCCTAAATATAATTCTTCCTTTCATTATTGCACAACATTGTACAACATAATTCTTCCTGTACTTAGCTTTTTATTATTTAACAATATAGTGTGTTATGGTATACTATATATTTGTACTGTATACTATATATTTGTACTTTGTGAAATTACATAACTTTCATATAATATCTTTTCTTATAAATGAGGTAAACATAAATGAAATAATTTGGTACCATTATTTATGTGATCTACTCAAACGATAATGACCCGAGAGAGATCTTGTGTTTTGATGCTATATGAACTTGTGCAATTACAAAACCTTCATATAATATCTATTCTTGCAAATTAGATAAACATGAAAATGAAATAATTTGATACCATTATTAATTTTTGATCCGCTCAAACGATAACGACGCTAAAGATATGATCAGTGAGAGAGAGGAGAGAGGAGAGAGGAGAGAGGAGAGAGGGAGAGATGCAGAGATGCATGTGAAACTCTCTGAACGAAGCCCACCAATACCATGCAAAAAAAGTCCACTAAAATTTAAAGCTGTGGAATAAGAGTCTCCTGAAAATCATTATAAAAAGTCCAACTCTTATCACAGTTTTCCATTGGTCAGAAACTGGTGGGGTCTTAATGCAATTTTACGTCTACAGACAGTTGGGAATTCGAGATTGCATTAACTCATGAAATCCGACGCGGTTTATATATATATATATATATATATATGTACATTTTGTAGATGAGACGATAAATATACAATTATATATGAGCTTCTCAACCGTACATGATCACCAATCTTAATTAGCCTTCACAATATTTCTCTATATAAATCCCGTTTCTCATAATATTCCACCACTATCCAAGACATCTTTTGCTATATATCACATACAGAATAATATTGTACGTATATACCTTGCCAAAGATGACATCTAGGGTTCTTCTTCTCCTGCTAGTTGGTGCTTTTATTTGCACCAGTAACGCAAGGAAGCTTGGGACTGGAAAGGGTTCGTATGAAGACGAGAAAACGTTCTACCGCCGCCCTAGATTTGGCGGTGGGGGTGGCCTAGGTGGTGGAGGCGGCGGCGGCTTTGGTGGTGGTGGAGGGTTAGGCGGCGGCGGTGGTGCCGGTGCTGGTGCTGGGGGTGGATTTGGAGGTGGAGGTGGTGCTGGAGCTGGGGGTGGTGGTGGGCTTGGAGGCGGCGGTGGTGGAGGCGGGGGAGGAGTTGGCGGTGGAGCTGGTGGAGGCTTTGGAGGTGGAGCTGGATATGGAGGAGGTGCTGGTGCTGGTGGCGGACTTGGTGGGGGAGCTGGAGGAGGCGGCGGTGGAGGGTTCGGAGGTGGCGGTGGCGGTGGACTTGGTGGCGGTGCTGGTGGAGGGTTTGGAGGAGGAGCAGGTGCTGGGGGTGGACTTGGAGGTGGATTGCCTTGACCAGAAATTAATGAGCTACATTTCTGCGTGCACCTTGCATTAATTCAAGAAGAAGAAGAAAAAGAAGAGAAAAAATCTCCATGTTTTTTTCTTTTATTTTATTTATTTTATTTTTATTTTATTTTTCAAGAAGTGTTCCTCTATTTGTACGGTCATGGGTCATGTTGTAATTGATTCTAGTCCTTTTATCCTAAATTAATTTCTAATTGGACGGATGTCAGTGAAGAAATTTTTATTAAAACTTATCTGCATGCGCTTAATATTCTCATATTATAATATAATATAAAGAGAGGTTTGGTTCATGAATTAAAATAATGTAATTTAAATTATTTTTTATTTATGTGTATTTTTTATGAAAAAAATACTGTAATAAATTATGAATCATGATTTAAATTATAGTTTAAATCCTCCAACCAAACATTTTCTAATTTATTTTACAAAGACGTACATGCACTAGTGCGCCGTCCAAAAAAAAAAAAAAAAAAGGAAAAAGTTGAAAAAAA